ATCTACTCTGGCTGCTGGGGTTAATCTTCCGGCCAGACGGTAAGCTTGATGGCGTATCATACTACCACTATATAGTGAATGCTTTATGTTAGTGACACCACTGTTATCCATTTGCTATAGTCCCGACTATCTCCATACCTTCGTTTTGAATTCGAAGGAGCCACATACAAACAGATTGATACCGTATCCATAGGCAGTCCATTAGACCTTATTCCAGCTGATGTGTTTTAGGAATGAGTGAACAAAAGCTTGCCGATAATATCTCTCAGTCCGCCTTGTACAGACTTTATGTGGACGATATTTTTGTTCTTACGGTGCGTGAATCACTTTTGAAACAATTCAACTCCGTTCATCCACATTTTTCCGTATATCATAGAGAAGAAACCAACGATTTCTTAGATTTTTTGGATAATATAATTGTTAGGTACCTGGATGGCACATTGAAAACTTCTGTCCACCCAAAAGCAGCACGGAGTGAAAAGCATCTACAATTCTTTTCTCATACGTGGTTTACAAATGTGGACTCGTTAAAGCTCTGTTCCATCAGGCCAGAAACATTTGTTCTTAAAGGAAACCCCAAAAGATTCAGTGTTATCCATGATAGGAAATTTCAAGAAGTAACCCCTCTCCAACTGTTTCCCGAAAAGCCGTCTATATCAAACTATCCTTCAGGAGCGATCACCTTCTGAACGATGCGCACCAAAAGTTGAAATCAGCTCTGAACCGCACATTCCCAGCTGCTCAACTCCTACTTATTGCCTCTACTCATAGAAAGGATTTTGTTGGCGGTCTAGTTTTGTCTCACACACTGTATACCAGTTCACCTGCAGCTATGGAATTAACTGTCGCTTATCATAACGAATGGCCGGACATATTTAAAAGTGGTTGGGAAAGTCGATGATGCAACCCACACCCAATAGTCCGGTGGTCACATGGAACCCGGGGTCATTAATTGCGAAACACCTCATGACAACCATCATCTCTATAATGATGATTTCTGTTATTTACTTTTACTTTATTCAACTACACTATTTGTAAAGCAAAGTAATCCAGCTGTCCATTTGCAATTTATTCTAAAAAACTGTCATCGAGTGCTCGTCTTCCACGGATAGGTCCCTCAAAACCAAGGCATACATCCCGTCTAGTCGACTATTCTCTTTTGTTCCAATATC